GCGATATGGTTCATGGGGTCATGAAGAGTCAGACACGACTTAACGACTGAACAACAACAACTCCCAAGTGCCAGTTCAATATCTTAGGCACTACACTAGCTCTGATACATACTCAATATATAACTATGAAAAAAACAAGAAGAAGGTATGCATAAATGCCTCAGACAGACACCCCCTTAAGTCACACAAGTTTATGAAAAGGAGGAAGTAAAGCATAATCAGACTTGCAAGATTCTCTTACAATAGTCCATCTTAATAGTTTTAGACTTCTGTGGAGTCTAGACTTCCGTAGACCTCCATTTTTTGGTCTGGTCTACATCATGAGACTGACATCAATCTTGCAAGTCTGATTACAATTTATTTCAATTCTGCTCTTCAACATATCACTACAACTCCCATACATATCTTTAAAATATATTCCAGCATACACTCATTTCAGTTCATTTCAAATAATCTCATCATCTTTATTCTTAATTCCATTTATTCTGTTGGAGGCTCTTTGTTCAGCCCTTAACTCATTTCCAAAACAATTTCCATCAAAATGCAACATTTGCATTTTTTCTGCCTCTTTTAATCTGAACTATTCCTTGCCCTCTCTACTTTCTTTTTCTCTATATAAACATTATACAATAAGTTTATTTTTTCCTGATGTTTGCAGTAACCACTAGCATAACTCCACATATTTCTGTGGCACTTAAATATCAGACATAGGTAGCAGATAAATAGAAAATAGAGAGGAAGAGTGTGATGCTTTGTTCATAGGTAAAAGATTCATATACATGAAAGCCTACCTCTCTGAGACTAAAAAATACATTCATACAAGTCTGTGAACCATACTGCAGAGCAAAATTATAGAAGTTATAAAGAATATAAAGTTGTCAAATCATGAAAGAAAAGGAAAAAAAACCCTCACATCTACTTTATTGATTACATTTCTATAGCTGCATATCTGCAAGGATAATTGAAACAATCCTTGACTACATGGTTAACATCTGATAGCTAAACATATTTAAATTACTAGATAAATGCTGTTGGGTTTATTCAGAAACCCACACTCTCCCATTTTGTATTTTCTTCAGACATAGGAGCCAATTAAAAATGCAACAGCATGTAAGAACAACAGCTGCCATACTCAAACGGTGCACATCAATCAATGGACAAATTACAAAAATACTTAATATATATTCAGTGTCTAGTAATCGTAGCCTAAAAAATAAATTCTAGCAATTTTAGAAAACTGAATGTCATTATATACATACATAATATATAATGTTTCAAAATTATACCAAGTATTACTATAGAATTTTTTGTCCCAAAAATTATTAAATAATTCATATGCATAAAGTTATTAATTTAATTTCCAAAATATATGTCAAATTAAAAGTTAGAATCCAGGTCTGGAAACCCAAGGATCTACAGCTAGCCATGATGATGCCAAATAACAACACATGCATCATGATGTCACAAGCTATGCTCTGCCCTTTCATACTTATACTGTGACACTGCACATAAGTACATAAGTGACAGTGTTTGCATTGTAACACTGCAATGCATGGTTTGTCAGTTGCCTCCTGTGGATACTTTTATATGGAAAGAAAAAAAAATATTTTCATTTGCAAGTCTGTGACTTGATTCACATGCAAGGTTAAATTATGCTATAGCACTACTTGTACAAACATGTCTACTTATGGCTTGAAAGTTATACCCTTTTCTCTCCTCCATACCAAACATGAATAATCCAGCATTCAGTGTTACTTTAAATACAAATAAAAGCAGAGTTGATCATAAACTGTAGTTTAAACATCTGGCCTGTTTAATAAACCAGAGTATATTTTAAATCATAAATCTAGATTTGTGCACAATGACACAATGGAAACTAAGAAAAAGGAATGGACTCATAGTTTATGTTTCCTTTTCCAATAAAGTGAAAAAGGGAATAGCTGTATCAGAATTAAGCTTTGCTCCAGATCACAAATTCTCATGTACAGAACACTGAATCTCTGATCAACATTCTGTAGAAATTGCATGAAACCAAAAGGGAAAAGCGATCTGGTTAGGGATCCAAGAGTTGCTTAGGTGATAATTTCAGTACACAACTGGCAATTTTCAATATCAAATGAAAATCCTTAAACTTTCTCTCACCTCAACATCTAGCAAAACATAACCTTATTTTTCAAATGAATATAAATAAATGTATGTTAGATAAAAGGACATGGAGTACATACAGGCTATTCTTCTCAACGTATTTCCTTGCTATAGCTTTAAGAAGCAGAGGAAATCTTGCAATGGATATGTCTCCCACTAGGATACTAGTATTCCCAGTATATGCCATAAGCTTCTGCTGATCTAAAGAAAAACACATATAAAGAACTAAATGCTTTGTATATATTGACACTGGGATTCAAGAACAATCTGGCTCTTCTCCCAGGCTTTGGGCTAGGGTTGTTGGAGCCCCTTGTATGTGATATGTTGTGTTAACTGGATCTGCCATTTGTTTATTGCTATGCTTTTATATGGATTATATATTTATTATTCTGTTTCTATACTGTGAGCTGGCCAGAGTTGGAATTCAGCAAGATCGATGGCAAAATAATAAATAAATAAATAAATAAATAAATATGCATATACTGACACTCAGATTTAAGAACTGTCAAACTGGCTAAACAGTATTCTATATTTCTAATTAAACATGTCTGTATTATAAACTTATTCATACTTTCTTAAAAGTAAACTCTACTAAACAATATGGATTTATTTGTGATTAAAGTCATATATAATTGCAGTTACCTTAGCAACATTAATAATTAAGTTTATAATACATAAATTTTATAAACAAGGACAAGTAATATTTCTTTTTTCTGAACCCATCAGAAATATGCCTTCTAAATATTTTATATACCTATAGAAATTTTTTAAAACCCTATAATGCACACCCAAAATATAAAAAGCTCTTCAACAATAAAGCAAAGGCTATGACTTCAGCTATTATACTGGCTACAATTATTCACTTACAGTATACCATTCAGAGATGCACAATTGCTTTCTTTGTTCTACAAACAAGATTATTATTCACTACCATCACCATGTTTTACATGAAGATGTACACGCCCCACACAGCACATGCATAATAATAAGCTCTAACAATTAAGTAAAATTTATTCATTTCCTAGGATTCCTGACTTCTACAGAACAGTGATAATAGAGATAACTGCTACTGGTAGTTTCTTCCATCAGCAGCTGGATGTGCTGGAACAAACACAGAAAGGGAGACACACCTATAAAGGAACGAACATGACTTCAGAAACAAAGGAATCAATCTCACAATAGCAAACTTGTATTTGACTAGCAAGAAATAGAAATCAAATAAATGACTAATTTTAAGAAAAAACAAATCCATTAATCAGCATGTAATAACTGAATTATAGCACACAGATAGAAAGCAAATTGTATGCATATACGTGAGAAAAACATATAAAAATCAGTTGAATTCTGGAAATGAACTAGCACAGAAACAGGCTCCCTTTTCATGAAGACTCTGGTACCAAGTTCATCTGTGTGAACATCCTGTATTTGCTTTACCTCCAAGGATAAAAGAAATGAACCCAAAGCCACACAAAATGGCACTGTGGTGATTATTCCATTTTGAGACCACTGAAAAATTGTAAGGCTGCAGGAGCAGACAATGTGGAGAAATGTTAAAATATGGATATGATTTGCTTGTGGAATGGTTGTGCAAGTTGCTCAACATACATGTCAAGACTGTATCAGTGCCAGATAATTGGAAGAATGTCATTAGTGTTCCTCTGTACAAAGATAGCAGAAGTGAATGTAATAACAAGATAAAATAGAAATCTGATGAGAAAGTAACAGAGATGGTAAAGTTAGGGAATGTGAATTATTTTTTGATAAGTTATCATTCTAAATAGCCAAGAGGTTCACAATTGTCTAGTTTTGGGGCTGGATAAAAATACTTTTTGTCTGTGTGTACCTTCAAGTCAGTTTTGATTCCTAGCAACGGCCTGGACAAGTCCCTACAGTTTTGTTGGCAAGATTTTCAGAAATGGTTTGCCATTGCCTGCTTCTTAGGACTGAGAGACAGTGGCTGGCCCAAAATCACCCAGTTGGCTTTGTGCCTAAAGTGGGACTAGAACTCATGTTCTCCCAGTTTCTAGCCTGATGCCGTAACCACTACACCAAAGTGCCTCTCTCAAAAATACCTTTAGATGTTTAAAATTAAAGCAGCATGTAAAGCTAATCAGCCTTTATAAAGAAAAAAATCTGGAACTTTAATGTTCATCTCATTCTGGTTTATTGTATTATATATTCAGAAAAAAAATCCTAAGCCATTCAGAATTTTGGCAACTATAGAATTAATAAATAAAACTTTCTATAATCAGAAAGTTTATAATAAAGTTTGAGATTCACCATGGATAGGGCAAATGTACTACCACAGTTGCCCTAAAAAATGTCATGACAGCTTTTCCACATAACTTTTAAAGTTTTTTTTAGGATTTTTAAATAGTGCTTTTAACAATGTATATTGATACTATACTTTTAGTGTTTTACTTGGATTAATTTCCTAAGTCAGTAAACAAGGTAAAAAAAATACAATACAGTAAGCATATTCCAAAGATTTTCATTTAATGCAGATTAAAAGTAACAACTCCTTTGGGTAAACTTCAACTTTATGAACATGTCCACATTATATTCCTGGCAACAATATGAAAGAACTTTGCCACAGTATTCTTCTAGGGTGTTTTTGCAACTTCCCCAACTAGCCTACATCCTGAAATTTCCTAGTAGTCTCCCATCTAAGCACTAATCATTTGTTTTAACTTCTTTTTCCCTAGATCTCCTAAGGGCAGTTATAAACCTAATTATTTGTTTACAAAATTAACTAAACTTTCCATTTATCCTTGCTGTTTATTAAATTATTAAATTTCAGATGCACATTTGTGGTTTGAATAAAAAGATTCAAATTAAAATTTCCACAGAAGCTACAGAACTCATCTGAATTCAGCAATGAAGAGTGGTTTAAACCTAACACATAAGGATGCGGAAAACTACATTCTTGTAGTTACCCACAGGTACCTCATAATTAAGCTATTGTCAAGCATTATGTAACTGAAAATGTTATACAATTTTCACCAATTTTTTTTTTTTTTAATGGCAAACACTTGATGCACAGGAATGTGCCTTTTCACCTTAAACTGCAGTGGAAAGAAAATTATTTCAAGTTTACTCTTAAATTAACAATGCAATTACTGTAGCAGTAAAATTGCTTGTAATTATGAGCTCACTAGCCTATTTGGGTATCCCAAGAGTACAGTAAGGGACCAGATGTGCCATAAGGTTTACTGAAGAGCCATTCATATATTCAATCCTCTTATTGCAGCTGAATTAGACATATAAATATAAACCTCCACTATGCACATTGCTTACATTGCACCCTCAGGCTCGATAGTCCATTTTACGTTGACCTTGTTTGCCTTGCCTTTGCTCTACAGTGCGTTTACGTTATAAACCTGGTTTAGGCAGTCCTTCTGCGTTGCTTTTTAAGGCACCTATTTATAGAGCAAGGTAGAATAAAATGCGAGCCCGCCAGCCCTATGCGGTCTCCGGCTCTTCTTGCGCCTCCAGAATAGAGACACCAGTTGGGACCTGTGGCATTTCCAAGGCATGTGCAACCTCCTGCCAGCAGCAACAGCTGTTCCCGAGCCAAGGGCGTGAATACATATATCGAGCAGAGGGGGAAGCGGCTCGCTCTGGATTCTGCAATTTGCACAGAGAGGACCCCAAATGCTATGGCGTCCCCACGACACCCCCAAACAAAGAACGAGTCGCAGACAAAGAAAGCGCAGCACGGAAAAGGTGCCAGGGAACGCCTCGCGCCCTCAGCCACCCGCGACTGAGCTTTAATAACTCCGTCGCCGCTCATGACAGCGGAAAAGTGCCGGGACGGGCAAGCTCTATCTTCCGCACCCCACGAAGCCCAAACTGCCCCCGCCACCACCTACTTCTCCCCCTCCCT